CTGGATAACCTAGAAGAAATGGACAACTTTCTAGAAAAATACAACCTTCCAAGGCAGACCCGGGAAGAAACAGAAAATCTAAACAGACCAATTACCAGCAAGGAAATTGAATTGGTAACCAAAAAATTACCCAAGAACAAAACTCCTGGACCAGATGGTTTCACTGCTAAATTTTATCAAACACTTAGTGAAGACCTAATACCCACTCTCCTAAAAGTTTTCCAAAAAGTAGAAGAGGAGGGAATACTCCCAAACTCATTCTACGAGGCCAACATCACTCTACTACTAAAACCAGGCAAAGACACCACACACACACACAAAATTACAGACCAATATCCCTGATGAACATTGATGCAAAAATACTCAACAAAATATTAGCAAACCGAATTCAAAAATACATCAAAAGATAATCCATCATGATCAAGTGGAATTCATTCCAGGGATGCAAGGATGGTACATTTGAAAAATCCATCAACATTATCCAGCACATCAACAAAAAGGACAAAAACCTCATGATCATCTCTATAGATGCTGAAAAATCATTCAACAAAATTCAATATCCATTCATGATAAAAACCTCTCAATAAAATGGGTATAGAGGACAAGTACCTCAACATATTAAAAGCCATATATGATAAACCCACAGCCAACATTATACTGAACAGCTAGAAGCTGAAAGCTTTTCCTTTACGATCGGGAACAAGACAAGGATGCCCACTCTCCCCACTTTTATTCAACATAATTCTGGACGTCCTAGCCATGGCAATCAGACAATACAAAGAAATAAAAGGCATCCAGATTGGCAAGGAAGAAGTCAAATTGTCCCTCTTCAGATGACATGAAACTGCACATAAAAAACCCTAAAGAATCCACCCCAAAACTACTAGATCTAATACCTGAATTCAGCAAAGTTGCAGGATACAAAATTAATACACAGAAATCTGTTGCATTCCTATATACTAAAGATGAACTAGCAGAAAGAGAAATCAGGAAAACAATTCCATTCACAATTACATAAAAAAAGGATAAAATACCTAGGAATAAACCTAACCAAGGAAGTGAAAGACATATCCTGAAAACTACAAGACAGTCATGAGAGAAATTAAAGAAGGCACCAATAAATAGAAACACATCCTGTGCGCATAGATAGGAAGAATTAATGTTGTCAAAATGAACATCCTGTCTAAAGCAATCTACAAATTCAGTGCAGTGCCTATCAAAATACCAAAAGCATTATTCAACGAATTAGAGCAAATAGTTCTAAAATTCATATGAAACCACAAAAGATCTCGAATAGCCAAAGCAGTTCTGAGAAGGAAGAATAAAGCAGGGGAAATCTCTCTTCCCAACTTCAAACTCTACTACAAAGTCACAGTAATCAAGACAATTTGGTACTGGCACAAGAGCAGACATAGACCAATGGAACAGACTAGAGAGCCCAAATATGAACCCAAGCATATATGGTCAATTAATATATGATAAAGATGCCATGGATGTACAATAGGGAAATAAAAGCCTCTTCAACAGCTGGTGTTGGCAAAACTGGACAGCTACATCTAAGAGAATGAAACTGGATTATTATCTAACCCATACACAAAAGTAAACTCAAAATGTATCAAAAACCTGAATGTAAGTCATGAAACCATAAAACTCTTAGAAAAAAATATAGCCAAAAATCTCTTGGACATAAACATGAGCAACTTCTTCATGAACATATCTCTCCTGCTAAGAGAAACAAAAGCAAAAATGAAGAAGTGGGACTATATCAAACTAAAAAGCTTCTGTACAGCAAAGGACACCATCAGTAGAACAAAAAAACATCCTATGGTATGGGAGAATATATTCATAAGTGACATATCCAATAAAGGGTTGACATCCTAATTATATAAACAGCTCACACACCTCAACAAACAAAAAGCAAATAATCCAATTAAAAAATAGGCAGAGGATCTGAATGGAAACCTCCAAAGAAATTCAGATGGCCAACAGGCACATGAAAAGATGCTCCACATCGCTGATCATCAGAGAAATGCAAATTAAAACCACAATGAGATATCACCTCACACCAGTAAGGATAGCCACCACCCAAAAGACAAACAACAACAGATGTTGGCGAGAATGTGGAGAAAGGGGAACCCTCCTACACTGCTGGTGGCAATGTAAATTAGTTTAACTATTGTGGAAAGCAGTAAGGAGGTTCCTCAAAAACCTAAAAATAGAAATACCATTTGACCCAGGAATTCCACTCCTAGGAATTTATTCTAAGAATGCAGCTGCCCAGTTTGAAAAAGACTTATGCACCCCTATGTTAATCACAGCACTATTTACAATAGCCAAGAAATGGAAGGAACCTGTGTCCATCAGTAGATGAATGGATAAAGAAGATGTGGTACATATACACAATGGAATATTATTCAGCCATTAGAAGAAAACAATCCTACCATTTGCAACATCATGGATGGAGCTAGAGGGTATTATGCTCAGTGAAATAAGCCAGGCGGGAAAAGACATGTATCAAACTCATCTGTGGAGTATAAGAACAAAGCAAAAACTGAAGGAACAAAACAGCAGCAGACTCATAGAACCCAAGAACGGACTAACAGTTACCAAAGGGAAAGAGACTGGGGTGGATGGATAGGAAAGGAGGGATAAGGGGGTAAAGGGAGCACTACGATTAGCACATGTAATGTAGGGGGGACATGGGGAAGGCAGTATAGCTCAGAGAAGAAAAGTAGTGGTTCTATAGCATCTTACTACACTGATGGACAGTGACTAATGGGGTATGTGGTGGGGACTTGATGATCAGGGGAGTCTAGTAACCATAATGTTGCTCGTGTAATTGTACATTAATATCAAAAGAAAAAAAAGAGGTAAATGAATGGAAATGCATCCCATGTTCACAGATTGGAAGGCCTAGTATTGTTGAAATGTCTCTACTGCCCAAAGCGATCTGCAGATTCAGTGCAATTCCTATCAAATTCCCAATGACATTTTGTGCAGAAATAGAAAGACCCATCATAGAATTCATATGTAATCCAGAAGATCCCAGAACAATCTTGAAGAACAAAACCTCCTGACCTGAAGACTTACTACAAGACTACAAAGTCATCAAAAAGAATGTGATAGTGGCATAAAAACAGACCAATACACCAGTTGGATAGAATAGAGATCCCAGACATGAACTGCCATGTATGTAGTCAAATTTTGACAAGGATGCCAAGACCATTCAGTGAGGAAAAGATAGGTTTTTCCAACAGATGGTGCTGGGGAAAATGGACATCCACATGCAAAAGAATAAAATTAGTATCTTACCTAAAACTATCCTTAATTAAGGTAAGACCTACAACTGTAAAACTGTTAGCAGAAATCATAAGAACAAAAGCTTCACAGTTTGGCAGTGATTTCTTGGATATGACACCAAAGACACAGACAAAAGAAAACAGACAAATTGGACTTGATGAAAAATTTAAAGTTTGTTTATCAAAAGACAGTATCAATATCAACAGAGTAAAACAGCAAACAGAACACTTGCAAATTATATATCTGATAAGGCATTAACATCCAGAATATGTAGAGAACTCCTAAAACTCAACAAAAAAACCTGATTTAAAAATCAGTAAAGGAGTTGAATAGACATTTCTCCAAAGAAGACATACCAATAAGCAAATAAATGGCCAATAAGCAAATGAAAAGATGCTCAACGTCACTGAACATTAGGGAAATACAAATAAAAACTACAGTGAGATACCACCTCATGCTCTTCAGATTGCTACTACTGAAAAGAGAAAACAATTGTTAGGATATAGAGAAATTTGAACCTCTGTGCACTGTTGTTGGGAACCTAAAATGGTATAGACCCTGAAAAACAGAATGGCAGTTCCTCAAAATATTAAAAATAAAATTACTATATGATCCATGAGTCATTCTGGATATATACTCAAAAGAACTGTGTCTTCTTCTTTAAATATCTGCAGTTCCAGTTTTATTAATGTTGTAGTAGCAGATACTGAATTTCCCATACTATCAGTTTTTCTTTCTTTCTTATATAGGCAACTGAATAGATATTACAAAGTGAGCAGCAGAAAGAATTTGTCTGTATATGCCCAGGAAAAGCAATTGTATATAGAGAAGCTTTAGAATATAGCTGAATATTCTTATAGTATTAAATTGTTAAAAGTTATTATAACTTCAACATTAATTTTTCTATTATGCTATTGAATTTTACATTAGCTACTGACTTTCCAAGCAATGCCAAGTAATCCAGATAGTAATAAGTCTCTTTGGCAGAAATAATTAAACAATCATATAATCATATATAAAGTAATTTTTACTAAGTTTCAGCTAAGCTGTGTAGATTTTGACTTGCAAAATTTTGGAATGGATAAAAAAATAATGAAGTGATCCTGATTAAAATAATTTTAGTGGTGAAATTAATGGTGAAAAATTGGAAATAGTTAAGTATTGCATAGAAAATAGATTAAGGAATTGAATCAACATTAAGGAACTACTTTCTCAAAGAAAATCATGTTGCAAGTTTTAGTAGAATGTTTATAATCATAAATTGGAATAAAAAATACCTCCAGGGTCAACATGTTGGTGGGGTTAAAATAAGAAGAAGGGGTGTGTGTGTCAAAATAGTCTGCATCTATCCCCAAATTAAATTCTTTCGTACATAACCAGGCCATTGCCTGAAGAGTCCCTGGGAGTATTTCTCCCTAGTTCATGTTGAGACTCTGATGTCTGAGGCAGTTTGGATCTTTTTTTTTTTCGGATAGCCCAGGATTTAACTCCCAGTCTAAGTGCCTAACATACCTAGTTGACTTAAAATGTTACTACAATCAACCTTTGCTTTATTTTCATAAAATTATACTGATACTGGAAATGTACCTTTCAAGAAAAAGAACTTACATGTGATCTTTAAATATGGAAAATTTATCTAATTTAGGAAAACACCTTAAAATAAGCAAATGACTTCAATATATATATTTTTTTGTTTTCAGTAAATATATTTATGGAGTACTACAGAAAGTTTCCTCCAGGTATATACTTTGATTTACAAGTGCTAAATGATCTTCTAAATTCTTTACTCAAACATTGTTTATTGAAAGAAGTATTTGAGGTAGTGAACCTCAGCATAATGGTTAAAATGCTGGTAAGTAACCTGAAAATATATATTTTTTAATATTTTCAGTTAATTTCTTTGTTATTTTTCTTGTTTGTATAATTATCAGTTAAATTTCTGTGCTGTTTAAATACTCTGTAGCACATACTTGTGTTTTTCAGCATAAATGTATTTGAGAAACTGAAGATTTACTACAGTATGAAAATGAGTGTAATTTTTTTGTTTTATCCAGCCTGCTCTGAAAATATTACTAGAAATATTTGAGCATGTGGCAACTATGAAATTAAGGAATGCTGTGCCTGCTTTAATTGATATCCTTTGCAAGGTATGATTTTATTTGATCTCTTTTATTCTTTGATAGTGAATAACCAAGAAAATAATCATTTATACTTTTACCCTTAAATTGCCTTTTATTCACATTCTTCATGCTAAAGAATTCTATTTTCAGAAATGTTCTCCTGAAATAGGATTTATAAACAGACTCCAGTGACTGACTGGCCTTCCCTTAAATAAATACAAACCCTCCTGGGAACTGTAACAGGCTTCTTTCTGATTCGTGAACTACCCTCATCTCTACACATTAAAGATGATTAAAGAAAATTCTGTTTTTCAAAAACACTTTAGGTCATTTGTAATAAAAATAAGTGCACAATCAATACATAAGTAGAAAATCATGACTAAAAGAAAGCAGATAGAAACAATGGCTAGGAGTTAATTTTATATTTAACACTAAACCAAAAAATAATAACTTTTGTGTCTCTAAAAATGTACTAAAATTTTTACTTTTGTTGAATATGTCCTAGTATTTGGTACCACCCAGCCATCCATTTCAGAATAAGTTCAGTAGCAGGAAACCACCACCCACACCCTTGTTTTTAGGATTTACAGTTGCTTGGAACCACTCTATCAGGTGAACAAATATTTCAGTGAATACCTCTAGTTGCATAAAACTTGGCAGGATTGCTTGCCTGGAAGGTTTTTTAATAAAAAATTACTTAATCACCTTTAATAGTTGTAAAAAATATCAATTTGATGAATCTCAGAAAGTTTACAGTCGAGGATAAGGTATAAACACCAGTGCTATACTAAAAGACAGAATGAGTATCAAACAAGAGGTACAAGAGATAAAGTGGTAGAGATAATGGAGAACAGAAAAAATATTCAAGTTTTGAATTCAAAATTACTACTTTAACTTTTGCTTTAAATTCTTGAAGTCGGGTGTCTCCATGTTTCATGTTTCCCATTTGTCTCTTAGTGGTTGCACACACTAAGGTTTTTAACTCTTAGGTTTTTAACTCTTAGGTTTTCATAAGAATGACTGCCTTTTTTTTTCTTTTCTACAGCTTATTGAAGCTGGGATGGTGTTTGACCCAGAACACCTTAACTACATTGCTAAACTTTTATACCAAGTACAGGCTTCCAAACAAGAAATAACTGCAGTTCTGGGTTTGGAATCCAGGTAAGAAAAACCATTACAGTTAAGGCCAAACTATATATATACATCTATAGACACGCACGCACGTGCACACGCACACACGCGCGCACACACACACACACACACAGATGAAGGATGAAGGCAAAGCACTTATCACTGTTCATATGTCCGAACATCTAGATAGTTGCCCACTGTTAAGTATTTCTCGGATGTCTTGGTTCGGTTGTGTCCTCACATCGTCTTTACTCAGCTTCTTCTAGCCAGCCATTCTGCCCAGCCTCACCAAATATTTCTAGTACCTGCTTTCATCTCAGTATCTGGCACATCAAGTGTAAAAGGAATGTCTTTTATCCTCTGTTTCACAGCTGTATACTTAATTCATTTAACGCACTCTCATATGTATGTAAATCACTTTAATTCTTTTTTCTCTTTCACTTCTTGTCATGTTAGCTAAGTAAAATATTTTAATGCCTGTCCTTCATTCTTTCTTTATTCAGCGTATGGGCCTCCAGAGGCCTTCTTTAAAAAACCTATGATAATTATAAGAGTAGTACCATAATATACCTGTATTGAGAAAGAGGAAGCCATGATTTTTATAAAAATTTTTATTAAACTATTACATAGATAAAAGAATACAAACTGTAAATATTTAAATGAACCATAACTTCTTTTTAATGAAATCAGCTTTGCTAAAAGTACAAATATTATCAGCCACCAAATTCCTTGAGAATATCCAGAAAGTTTCTTCAGAGAGCTTCCACAGCTGTTAACTCTCATTTCTCATTATCCTTTAATACAGAGGTTTAAACTTTCTTGGTTCATAGTGTCCACAGGCCAAAAGAAATGCGTTAGTAGTCCCATTTATTAAGTAGTTAGACCCAAACAAGTTAATAGTAGTAGTTTGATAGCGTCTGACAGAAGCCAGTTGAAAATTTAAAATAATCTGTGGGAACTCTGTGAGTTAGCTCTAGTGCCCTGGATGCTGTGGTATGCACAGATAATTGCAGCAATTTTACCAAGTAGTACTACTTCCTTCAAGCACTGGCATTGAAGATACATTTGAGTTCTTCAAGTTCTATGATTTTTTAAAATCTCTTTAACTACTGACAATAATATTTATGTTGTCTATGAAAATAATACTAAGTTAAACAGATTGTTGGGACTACCTAGGAAATAAATTTTTGTGAGAAAAATGTAATTTGTCTAGCATAGAGTTCTGGGATATAGTCCATTTATAAGTAAGATGCGTTGGTATTTTCTTCCAGACATCAAGTCATTCGTCCCAAGCCACATGCTAAAACTTCACATTTTGAGTAGTGGCAGCTATGGCAAAGGGTTCAGATGGCTAGCAGCAGTTAGTCTCCTGCCAGATTCAGTAGCTGCTGGCACAAGGAAGTGTATGCATCCAGGTTCAAGAGGAGCAGCAGTATATACCCTTGTGTCTGGGACAGCAGCACATCTCCACCCTTCATTCATTGATTGGGAAAAGAGTCTCTTGATATAGGAAGACTCCAGAACAAATCTGCCTCAGTTTTCAAATTTTTACAGTTTTACAAATATTTTTGCAGTTCATGTTACAGCTCCTGATTTTGAAAACTATATCCTTATATACTCTACCCCTTCCTATACTCTAACTTCAAAACAATTATTTAGTATTTTTAGGAGGTATTAATATTGGTGACCTATTTGATGAAGGAGAGAATAGGAAAATAACTGTGGGTAGTTAAGGATGTGGTTTGTGGGTGGGGAAGTAGACCTGGCCTCTAGGTAGGAGGAAAAATATTTTACTATTTATTATTTTATATTTGAATTTCCTAATCCTCTTTCAAATAATTACTCTTTTCTGAACTCAGGAAATTTTAAGGGATGCTCACACTTTTTGATAATGAGGTAGTTTATAGTTCAACTGAAAGACTTTCACTTTCAGCAGATAAGCCTGCTATAAAGAATTCTAACATTTACTTTCAAGACATCAGTGAGAATTCAGGTATGTCTAATCTAGGAAATTGGTTAACATACATTTAATAGCTTTTTAAAAATTTTTTATTTCTGAAATAATTTCAGGTTTACAGAAATATTGCAAAAATCAGTATAGAGACTTCCCATATACCCTTTATCTGGCTTCCTTTCATGTTTACATCCTACATAATAATAGTGGAATTATCAAAACCAGGAAATAAGCTTTGGTATGAATCTATTAAGGAACCACAGATCCCAGTGCATTGTAGTAGATCGTATATGGTGTCAGTATATCTTACTACTGTTTAATTTAACCTTACTCACTTAATTGAAATGTTATCTGGAAGGTTTCTGCACTGTAAAGTTACTGTTCTTTTGTAAATATATATCTTAGAAAAAAGATTTAAGTATTATGCATTAATCCTGTTTCTCCCCAAACCTCTATACATTACTTTTAGTATTCATCAATGGATCTTTCCTGTGGCTCAGCTACTACTATGGTTTTTGCCCAGTATATAATTCAAATTTAACACTACCTTATTTATGTCGTTGCTCAAATTGCTCCAGATTTGACCTTTGGGAATTCCTTCAGATTGGTTTTTACACTCTTTTATCATGTTTTCTTCATTTTCTACCACTTTCTTATTCTTTGGAGCCACAAAGTTGTTTATGTCACATCTTCTGTTTCCTGTGCCCTAACACTAGCAACAACCACTTCTCCAAGGAATTCAGGTTCCTTTTATTGGAGAATGGTATTTAAAAACCAAGATTGAATGCGCTCATTGCTGCTGCAGTGTCATTGCAATCAGGTCTCAGTGGACTCGGATAGGAAATATATGTATTATGTATATGAATATATGTAAATAAATGCACGTATACATGTATAGGAAATATATGTGTATATGTATATGAAAACATACACACAAAATATATTTATTTGTATGTTTACTAAAACATGAGTTCATATTAATAAGCTATGTTTCAGTTCTCCCAAATCCTAGTTAGTTTTAATTATTTAAGGAAGTATATGAAACATTACTTTTTATTCTGAGAGTCAGAGATATACTAAAAAGTATGCAGTGAGAAATGCTCCTCCTTCTTACCCTATCCCCTCAGTTCCAGTCCCTCCTTTCTACCCCTTTACTACCAGGAGGTAACCAGTCTTTTAGTTTCTGATTTATCCTTATAATGAACAGATATATATATATATATATTTTTTTTTTTTTTTTAGTGACTTCTTTCTTACATAAAGTGTGTAACATACAGTAATACTCTTCTCAACTGCTATTTTTGTTCACTTAAGCAGTATCCTAGAAACCAGTTCATAGAGAAATTCATCTTTTTTTCTTGTATAAATGCAAAGTAGTACTCCATTGTCTGGACATATTGTAGGTCTTTTAGACAATGTATGAGTATTCAAGTTGTCCCCGATATTTTACAATAAAAATGATGAAGCAATGAATAACCTGGGGTATATGTATTGTTGGAGGTATATTTTCATGTTACATTTCTAGAATTGGGATTGCTAGGTTAAAAGATAAGTACAGTAGTGCAACCACTGAACAGCTATACAAAGAAGATACTCAAAATACTAAAGATAATCAAAACGGAATTGCTAAAGTGTTAAAGTAACCACAAAAGAAGATAAGGGGAAACAGAGGAAACAAACAGCAAACAGATAATAAATGATAGAATTAAGCTTTAACATCAATAATTACTTTAAATGTAAATGTTCTAATTACAATTAAAGGTCAGTAGTTGGCTGAGTGTATATAAAAGCATGCATGATCTAACTATATGTTCTGTATTAGAAATTCATGTCCAATATAAAGATACAGGGAGGTTAAAAGTCAAACGATGGAAAACGGTATACTATGCAAACATTGGTTCTAAAAGCAACATGAGTGGCTATATTAATATTAGATAGACTACACTTTGGAGCAAAGAAAATTACCAAGGACAAAGAGGAACACTTCATAATGATAAAATGGTCAATTCACCAAGAAGAGTTAATAATCCTAAATGCATATGCACCAAACAGTTTCAAAATATGTGAAGCAAAACTGATAGAATGAAAAGCATAAAATAGACAAATCTATTGACTATAAAAGCAAATCACAAGGAGGAGCCAAGATGGCAACATGAGTAGGGCAGCAGAAATCTCGCAAAACCATATATATTTTTGAAACTACAACATACAACCGTTCCTAAAAGAGAGACCAGTGGATACAGTACAGCAGCCAGGCTACATCTGCGAGAAATCAGCATCTCAGGAAGGGGATAAGATACAAGCCGTGGCCCGGTGGGACCCGAGTGCCCCCACCCCCACACCAGCACCCCAGTGGGAGGAGAGGAGTCGGAGAGGACAGGGAGTGAAAGCTCAGGACTACTAAACAACCAGCTCTAGTAATCTGCACCAGGAGCACAGATACACATTGCATGGTGTGCTGGATAGTAGAGAAATGGAAAAGCAAAATCTGCAAGCAGGTCCCCGCAGCCGGCTTCCCTGGGATGACAGAAAAGCAAATGCTTTTTGAAAGTCTTAAAGGGCACAGACTTCACAGCTGGATGGAATCATCCCAGCAAACTCAGCCCAGCAGCTGGGAACCCCAAGGAACTCCAGGTGCCCTAATCCCCAGGGAGGCAGCACAGCTCTGAAGCCCCTCAAGTCAATAAGCACCCTGCCAGTTGTTCCCCTGGCTGGGGTGGCCCCTGACACAGCGGCCCAGTAGCCTGAGAGCGGAGGAGCAGCCCGAGAGTGGCTGTGCATGCGCACAGCAGCTGTCGATTGGCTGAGGAGCAGCAGCCGGCCGGGCCAGACCCAAAGGCCGCCGCCAACATGCAGCTACCTGGCGCAGGCAGAAGAAACCGGGGCAAGATGCGAAGGGGCACCCCTCTTGCAGGGGAGCACACCTGGTGCACCTGCCATTCCCTGCAGGGCTCTGGGCTACCCTGACGGCAACTCCAACTACGGCAGCTTAGGGGATTAATCCAGAGGCTGCTCCAGGAGTGCAGGTGACCGACACAGGCAGCAGAGAAGGGCAAGGCGACCAGCAAGCAGGAAA